ATTAGTATTTAGGTAGCAGAGTACATGCTTATTTAAATGTCTGTATTCCCCTATTATTTCATCCCGCTTGTTCAATAAGTTGTTTTGATCCTTGAAGATGATAATTATTAATATTTCCCCAGGGGCAATTTATAGTTTCTACAGCTGATATTGTATGGGGTTGTTTTTTTATAATGTCCCGGTTAATCATGGTAATGACGTTATTTTGTTTCTGGCCCCATAATTATTTTGATATTGTTGTGTTTTTGTATTTTTCTGTTTTCGATGAGGTTTCATGATTATTAAATATTTCTTTAAAGATTTTTTTTCTGTAGCTCCTCTGTAGATTTTTTTTTTGCATGCATACACTTGTCTTCATATACATGAATGCAAGCGTGCACATGGACGAGCGAGCACAGGAATATTCACCCGTATAAAGCACACATTCACACACTCACATTCACATACACACAAAATTCAGTCGCAACCTAAACTAAAATGGTTAAAACAATACCAAAGTTAAGCAGGATACAAAACATAAATCAATGAGAAATTACTAAAGAAACAACTAATTAGCCTGTTCTTTCATACAACAAAAAACGTGTATCTAACACTAAGTAAAGTTTAAAAAAAGAACTAAATAAAGTTAAATAATACAGTCTTCGAAAATATATTAAAATACTAAAATTAAATAATACAACAACTAATAAAAATACATATACAGTTAACACAAACAGAAACATACAGACACACATACACGGACGCACAAACATACACGTGCGGGTGAGTGTGTGCGTACATGCTTTTGTGTGTGTGTGTGTGTGTGTATATGCGTGCGTGCGTACATATGCATGGGTACGGGCATAAACACACACCTCCACAAATATGCATACGCTCACAAAATTGCAACCATAACCTAAATTAAATGGTCAACAATAAACCAGAGATCAACGAAGAAGGTGAGGAAAAAGTAAAAGAGAAAAATATAAAAGAGAAAACTTAAAAAAAAAATGAGGAAAGAAGAGGCAGCGAAAGCAAATAAATATCACATACACACCAATAAAAGTACAGAAGAAATTACAATTCCGCCGAGTAGTTATACCAATAGAACAACGAAACTGTGATGTAAACATGATTTAAATGAAAAACAACTTCTTCATATTAATTCTATTAACGCTCTATCTTCGATATTGAGCAATGTACCATAATGTCTACTTGCCTCAAATGAGTCATTATTAGCTAACCACTGAAAAACCAGCAATTTTGGCTTCAAAAACAGTATTTCAAATTAACACACTCTCTCTCTATTATATATATATATATATATATATATATATATATATATATATATATATATATATTCAGTAACAAATATTTACTAATCCGTTTCTACTCTGAATTTTGAGGAGATCTATCGATTCATTAAATACGCACAACGACTCCCTGTCTTCCAGAAATACCCAGCTCGAAATGTTAATAATCTCTGTTGTTGCTATATATATATATATATATATATATATATATATATATATAGATAGATAGATAGATAGATAGATAGATAGATAGATAGATAGATAATATTAATGGTAAATATACACATACATAAACATACATGCAAAATATATAAATATACATACATATATGCATACACATATATATATTTTGTATAAAAAAATTCCAAGAGGATAAAATCCAGGTAGAACTCAATGTCTAGGACAGAGTAAGAATATAATAAAAAGGCTTAAACACTAATATTCCATGGTCATAACTTATTCCATTGGAATCGTAAATACGATCCAATTCATCAGACCTACAAATTCAAAAAAAAAAAAAAAAAAACAAAAAACAACTCCGGAAATAGAAAATAAAATTTAGAGAGTATAAGTATGAGAGTGTGGAACGAATGTTAGAGCTAAAGAGAGGGGTAACAGATGAGAGAAGGTGGGAGATTAAAACTTAACAGAGAGAAGTTTTAGAGAGATGAGTTAAAGACGGTTTAAGTGAGAGAAATATGAATGTTGTCGGATGTCTAATACATTAAAGATGTAACCGGAAAGGATACATTTTGTGGTGACATACACACACAATAGACGATCTAATCTTAAAGAAGAGGTAGGGAGAGGAAAAGAAAAGAAGAAGGGGTGGGGGAGAGAGATGGGGTTGGGGGAGAGAGATGGGGTTGGGGGGTTATTAAAACCGAAGGGCATTTATAAAAGGGCCGCTGCGTAATTAAGAAAATTTGACAAAATTAATATCGACTACAGGTTACAAATCAAATATAAACATATAAAAAATAAATATAACGATTATCTAATCTAGCAAGGACCTATATTTCTATATTCAAAAACACATGCGTATACACACATACACAATAACATATACACGTACATACATACATATAGGCGTGTACACATACACACATATATACCCATGTACACATATATATATATATATATATATATTCATATACATATACATATACATATACATATATATACATACACATACACATACATACATGTATACATATACATAAATACACACACACATACATACATACATACATGTATACATACATCCATAGAAATCCACTCCTACATATATATACATTTACACACATATATACATACAGACATACACATATGTGCACATAAACATATATACATAAAACCTTACATCTCCATACAATTACATACACCCATCTAAACAAATAAACAATGTATCCCTATATCTATCCGTCTAACTATACATACATACATACATACATATGCACCCATATAAAGATATATATGAATATATACATACCAAAATATACACACACATATATAAACATATCTACATACACATCTACCTACATATATACATACATCCATATACGCATACCCATATATATATATAATATATATATATATATATATATATATATATATATATATATATATATATTATCCCACTCATGGGTTAAGTAACATAAAATTGAGTTTGTCCCTGATTGGGAATCAATCTACTTGAAAGACAACTCCGAATTCAAAACCATGATATGTCCATGGTTCCCGCCTTCCGATTGCAACAAACATATATATATATATATATATATATATATATATATATATATGTATATATATGCAAGTTTAATAACAACGAAGAGCTAAGGTTTGTCTGTCTAATAATTTATAGCATTTTTCTAATTTGCGAATGATATCACTGTAGACTCTTTCAAACTTTCAACTTTACAAACAATACCAGGATGTAGACAAAGGAATTCAGCCCACAAAACAGACATCACATGGTTTTTTGAAAATGACGCTCGAAGCTACTTGAACAAAACACATGGACTTCGGAAAGTTTATCCATAATTCTGAGCTCGATATGCAACAATTCATTCAAAGATTGGAAAAATACAAAACAGAGACCTTGGCAGTTCTTTTTTTATCAAATTTTTTGGTGAATATCTCATGTCTAAACATAACTTATTCATATATACGAGGTTCTTTTAAAACGTTTTAAGCCTCACCTAGAAGGAGATACAAGTCTTTCACTATTTTTCAATATAGTCCCGCTTGAAATCAATGCACTTGGTCCAACGATATTTAAGCTTCTGCAATCGATAGATGGATGAAAGTTGCGTCCTGGTCTTCCAGAAACTCCTCCTCAGCTCATGATTTCATCATTTCTTTCAAAATGGCAATCATGCAGGTGAGATTTGCGTTTCAGAAACAGGAAGAAGTCAGATGAGTAAGGAGGATGGAGTAGCATTTCAAAACCACAGGTGAGTGATTCAGCTACTGCAACCTGAGCTGTATGAGTGAGGGGCGTTTTCCTGGAGCAAAAACTCACCTGTCCTCAGTTTCCCTCTGCGTTTCGACTTGATTGTCTTATTCAGTTGTCTTAATTCTGATCCAGAGTATTCTCCATTAATAGTTTTTGTCGTTTTTCCAGTTAGTCTATCATGATTACACCTTCAGAATAAAGAAAAAAAACAGAAGCCATCACATTGCTAACAGACTTCCTACTTGAAATTCTTCGGGAATGGAGAACCAGTGTGTTTCCTCCGTTTTTTTAATCTTTGATTCAGGTTCGAAGGGATGAACGCAGGTTTCATCTTGAGTTACTTATCTACGATAGAAATTCTTGGAGTCATCCTAGAAGCATGTCAAAAGTGTCCTGGAAATGACAGCCCTTTTCAGCTTCTGCTATGGTGTCAGCATTCTTGAGACCTATCTCGCAGTCAGCTTGCTTATCACGAAGATCTCAATTAAAACAGTATGGATCAAACCAGAACTAATGCCTATGGACTTAGGTATCTGCTGAACAGTAAGATATCTGTAATCAAAAATCATACAGTGAATAGCATCAACTTGTTCACTAGTGGTTAAAGTTTTTCGAAGTCCTGACCGAAGGACAATCTTCTGCTCTGCCCCAGCCCGGCTTGAATTCCGCAGCCCACTTCTTCACAGTTGCATAGGAAGGGGAGTCCTCAACAAGTGTCTTTACCATGTCCGCGTGGATTTCCTTGGGTTTCATACATCTCTTTCGCCGATACATTTAGACTGCTCGGGCGTCTGTCTCTTTCATTTTTAGATTTGTTACACACCTCTCACCTTTGTATGGGTCACACCTGCAAAAAAATTAATCGCAGAAATCTGAATTGCTTTTTTCTACTTTTATAAGGAGTAATAGTGTGTTGCCACAACAAAAATGTTCAGCTATGTCTGTTCCTTCTGGGTGAGGCTTAGAACTTTTTGAACAAGCCTCGTTACATACACACACACACGCACACACACACACGCGCGCACACAAACACACACACATATATATATATATATATATATATAATGAATGAGAAAAACAGGGATTCTGTCAATGTAGATTTATTATCATTATAATTGAAGGTTTTTATTTTTTTTTTCGTTGCTTCAGACATATAATTATTAGTCTACTGTCTACAACTTCTTATAAGGTCTTTTTTACACCATTTTTCTTTGTTATACCGTTTTTTTGCGATAATATTGATTTATGAAATGGTTAAGGAGCCGCTGTTCGTGACTTCTTTGTGTGCACCCAGTTACGGAAACGTGCAGCCGATTACAAAAGACATTTATCATACTAACCTTTGCATGCCGGGAAAAATCTATATTCATTCACATGTCGGCACGCACATATCCATCGCGGTCTGCTACTACTGTTGCTGACGACGTTATGCCTTTAATGACTTTATTTCGTGGCAAAAAAAAATGCAGAAGAATCTTACATTCAAATACATTTACATAAGCATCAATTAATCCCCTAATTTGTACTATACGTCCATCCATATCAGTTACAAAAGTAAAGATTTGTCATGAGATGCCAAGTAATAAAAATATGTTCGATCGAGTTATGTTATTTGAAAACGTGCTCAGATCACGAACCAGGCTTGTACTTTTCATCCCATGATTTGGTATCGGAAAAATAGCAAGACTTTATTTGCTGTTATTGCAGTGCTTCACAGAAATACGCATGTAACTAATACCGTTAACCAACTTCCTATGTCAATCTACCAATAAAACCAGTGTTATATATTCATGTTTAATTATTACTCGAGGTTTTGTATCGACGTTGTGATTTTTAAGAAAGCTGAAAAATTCGAGCCAACTTCCCTTCATCGAATTTGGTGTATCCCTTTGGAGAATTTGCTGCTGCGATCTTCAAAATGATTCGTGAGGATTTTGGTATCGATGCTTGTTACGGTCGAACAAAGGTTTTTAAGAGGTTCGGTTCAAAATGGTGAGTGATCAGGGTGAAATAAATACCAGAAAACGTGCATAGAAATTCGTCATATCCTTCATGATTAAGGCGACTGACCAATCCATCATCTTCCTCACATGACTGGAATCAATTGTAGCATTTGCCAGGAGAATCGCATCTGATATATTCCCGATACTGTCTCCTCATATTATCTCTACTGAAAGAGGACGATAAATTATTTTCAATATCAACGCAGACATTCAAAAGATACTGAATTTACTTTCTTCGTCCCTTGACAAAAATTATTGTTCTTTTTTTTAAATAAATTCACCCCAAGCAAGGTGATATAGCCACTAAGAAGCAAGGGGATTAGAAATTTTAAAAAGACATACATGTATGGTTTTTCAATAGTATCCACAGAATTAAAAAGTAAAAATGAAGGGTAATCCTAATCGGGAATAAGAAATATTGCCGTTCATTTTTACTTTTTATTGTGAAATGGTAATATTTTTTATTTATTTTTTTAATTTTTTTTACAAAAAGTTGCCTTGGGTGAAATTAAGTCTGTATATATATATACTTTTTCATTAATTACTGTAATTTTTTTTTTTTTTTAGTTTTAGCTAGACACACACAGGGACAACTGTCCTTTATACATGTATATATGGCTGAAAAATATCAATGAATTGTCAATAATAAACTATTATACAGAGAACTTCCGAGCAAGGCCGGGTATCCCCGCTAGTACATATACAAAAGACAGTAGTCTGTGTCCGTGTGCGCGCACGCGCGCGTGTGTGTGTAGTTCCGGTTAGAACTAAAAAATATGCAGACTCATTATCCAGCTTTTGGTAAAAAAAAAAAAATATCGTATGATTTGTTTTTACGAAGATATTTTAAAATTAAAATGTATTAGAATGCATTCGAATTTCTCAGAGTTAAAAAAATAAAAACGAACAATATTAATTCTTATTCTCGAATCGGATTACCATTCGTTTTTACTTTTTTATTCTGATAAACGCTATACAAGTATGTATTTTGAAAATTTCTATTCTCTTGAATTTATTTTCACAACTATAGTAAATAAAAGCATAATTTAAAACAAAAAACGGATATTAAAACCACAAAGTAAATTTAAAAGAAGAATAATATTAAATACAATTATTTGACAAAAAGTTTTATATTTATTTATTCAAATATTCGAGTTCAGTAATTAACGTGCATGCGTATTATTGACTTATGTATATTTTTTGCCCATCTTATGGAAAATAATGTTTTTATTCAAACTTTGAAAAATAAATTTCATTGCTTTTTTGGTTTCTAACATACAAAAAGTAAATAATTTTCAATTAAGTTTTATTAAAGCAAAAAACTATAGTGAGCCTTATTATTTTTTAAAATAATTTATTTTTAATTTCGTAAAACAAATACAGTGTAACCCGGATGTAAGAGAGTTGTCAGGACCGGAGAAGAAGTATCTTATATCCGGGTTTCTCTTATATCCGGGTTTGGTCTACTTTGTTTAGGTAAGTATGGGCTCTAATTTGGGACCAGAGAAAATCTCTCTTATATCCGAGTTTCTCTTATATCCGGGTCTCTTATATCCGGGTTACACTGTATTCAACACGACTAATGTTGACTGTAACTCATGTTTGTCTCTGTTAATTTTTATTTAACTATTTTTTCCTTTTCAAATACAAATATAATTTGAAATTTAAACAATCGCTTTTCAAAACTAAATTCTAAATGTGTCTTGCTTCTACTTGCTTTCAAAATAGTAATTAAATTCATTTGCAG